GCTGTTTTGAGATTTCAACATCCATTGAATCATTGTAAAGGGGTAGAAGATGTAGGACTCGAAGCTGCAATTTTCAAAGCAATCGAAAAGGAACTAGGCAACCACCTCTTATTCACTTTCCATTGGATTCAGCTTCCTAACTTGCTTACGCCCCTTTGAAGATACCAGCCTAATAGTTCTTGGCTTCAGATATTTGTATTTCTATTTTAATTTTAAAAAGAAAAAGCTTTGTAATTTTAAATGAACATTTTTACATTCCAAAATGTAGAATAGGCAAAAAACCGCACCTAAACAAAAAATGTTACATTAAATGTACTGCATAGTGTTAGGATATAGATATTCAGGCCTGTCTGTAAAGGCCTATACTCTAAGAATTTAGGTGTATTCTTATCACTTGGCTAATTATAGAGGTATAAAAGAAAGAATCAAAATCACTGTCTGCCAGTGTAAGGTCCTTCTCTTACTGTGACAGTCTGAGGCCCTGTGCTTAGGCTAAGGCCTTTGCCTAAGCAACAGAGGCAGCCATAAGCTGGGAAGCGACCGGTCACATCCTCACATTCCAACCTAGTCACATTGAAATAAGGTGCTTTTGGGCTGTTAAGAATACAATCCTGTCCTGATAATGCCTATCTCCTCCAGAGAAAGGGAAGTGCCTAGAAAATGTAAAAGGAAACTTAGTTTGATAGCATCCTGTCTGGCAAGAACTCACTTATCAATAGCTGGGATGTGAAATCCTCACTTCTATATTGTTTTGTCATTATAGTTCCCACTTTGCTATTGTTTTTCTGTATAATCTCTGTCTGGTTCTGTGATTGTTCCTGTCTGCTGTATAATTAATTTTTGCTGGGTGTAAACTAATTAAGGTGGTGGGATATAATTGGTTACATAATCATGTTACAGTATGTTAGGATTGGTTAGTTAAATTGCAGTAAAATTATTGGTTAAGATATAGCTAAGCAGAACTCAAGTTTTACTATATAGTCTGCAGTCAATCAGGAAGTGGAGGGGTGGATGTGTGGGAGGGAAATGGGAACAGGCAGTGGGGGTGGGGAAATTGGAATCATGTTTTGCTAAAGGGGGAAATGGGAACAGGGACACAGGTAAGCCTCTACGGTGTCAGAGCTGGGAAGGGGGACACTAAGGAAGGAAACTGGAATCATGCTTGCTGGAAGTTCACCCCAGTAAACATCGAATTGTTTGTACCTTTGGACTTCGGGTATTGTTGCTCTCTGTTCATGCGAGAAGGACCAGGGAAGTAAGTGGGTGAAGGAATAAGCCCCCTAACACATATATAGATTTTTTCCCGCTATTTTAAATATTAATATTATCTGTGCCATAAAATAATGGACATGATTGATACTTTGTAGTGTTGGTGGAGCAATTATGTTCAGCTGAAGATCAGATATTCACTTAAAAACATGTCTACAGAATTGCAAGATATTTCCATGCAGGAGCCATTTTGGCCTACGGAGTAACTAATTAATAATATTCAGACTCAAAGATATCCTTTCGAGGTTTTTCATCTTCTTTTACAATGTCTTAATACCACTTCTTCCCACAGCTTTTGTTTTTACGGAAGTTTTCTTCCTCAAAAAGCAATTAAATCTTTTCAGAAAAAGGCATTTGTTTCAAATTCATTTGTACATCTTTGCAGGATTGGGGCCCAAAAAACTTACAGTTATGTAAACTGCCACTTAATATAATGTGGTGGTGTACCTGTGCTGGTCCCAGGATATGAGCGAGACAAGGCAAATGAGGGAATAGCTTTTATTGGACCAACTTCTGTTGGTGAAAGAGACAAGCTTTTGAGCTCCACAGAGCTCTTCTTCAGAGTTGTTCTCAAAAGCTTCTCTCTTTCACCCACAGAGCTGGTCCAATAAAAGATACTACCTTATCCACCTTGTCTCACTAACTAATGAAGAGTGCCATGGGGGGGCAGTGGGGGCGGATATTTTTCTTTTGTATTCGTGCCCCTATCTGCCATCATTGCACAAACATGCACTGTACTATTACATAGTTCATAAACACAATAACTGAGAAATACATCTTTGTTATTAGAATTTTTATATTCTAAAAAATTTTTCTGGGGCTTACAGAATATTTCAATTTCTTTGCAACTGACTGGTTTGGCATTGAGTCAGCAAATGGTGTCTTTACCAGTTTAGGATTTAGAAAGTTAAAGAACATGCAACTTTCTTTTTTTAAAAGTGCAGCTTATAGTAAAGATTTCAAGTGACGACAAATAATAAAATAAGCCTCTCATGCATGACATACGAATAGTTGTGCTTAACTTTGGTGACTTATCATCCAAAAAAAGTAGACAAGGTATTGAAAAATAAAAAAATGACTTTTACTCTTGACTAAATAAAGAAACGGGCTAATGGGTTTTACTTAAGTCCTTTCTAAACGTCCCCCTTTATTAGCTTCATAAAGAGATCTGCAATTTTTTTCAAAGAAAGCTGATAATGTGGGAAGCAGTAGAAAAGTTTAAAAGAATTTTTGGCTGCATGGATTGCACAAGATGGTTCTCATCAGATACTACCGGACAAAAATCAGCATGCAATACAATTAACAATTTTTTTTTACCAGCACATGACATATAACATGACAAAATGATAAATTTGACAATGAGATATCTAAACAAATATTAAAATGTCAACAATTTAAATACCTGAATTTTTTTACACTGTGACTTTCAGTTGAAACAGTGTTGTGAAAGTTTAAACACGCACGTGATAGTTCCATTTACATTATCTTAAATAAAAGTGAGAACTCCATCGTTTCATTCTTCACTATGATACATTCTGGGAATTACATACAATGAAAAATGTGTGACATTTGTTGTTTCCTGCAGTTTAGCATATTAGTCTTCTATATCAAATATATTGCAAATCTAGAGTTTATTGCAGCAATAGTCATGGTGATATGTTTTCTTCTGCTTCTTCTCACTGTTAGGCTTACAGTCATAATTATAAAAAACAAGTAACATTTTCTGCACATCTTTATATATGTACTTTAAAAAACAGCTTTCACAAAGACAATTTGCATCTGTTAAGAGTGTTTAAAAAATAAATTAAACAGAGACTTGACTCAGCTATTTATTTTCTTCTCGAGAAAACAATTCTTGCCAGTAATCTCAACAGGATGCTAATATTTATAAACTTGTCATAAGGATTAATGCTACCAAAAATATACACACACAATTAATTCTGAAGAACACGATGATCAAGTAGAATCCTTTTAATTGGCACAAACCAGTGGAAGTAGAGACATTCCAGTTAAGGTTCCAATCCTGCAATCCTTTCTAACATCCTTACTCATATGTGTTTATTTGAAATCAATGGAAGTATTAGTGTGTGAAAGGAGTATTCATACAGATGAAAATTTGCAGGATTGGGACCTAAATTATCATCCCAATTAAGAGAGGATCATGTAACACACTGTGCTGGTAAATATTCATTAATTGCCTAAAAACACATAATACAGTGGAACACGCTGGCACATAGTGTACCTTATCTTTCCCTCTAGCTGCTGATTATGGGTATGTCTACTCTGCAGTTAGACACCGGAGGCTGGTCTGTGCCAGCTGACCCTGGCTCGGGCTAAGGAGCTGTTTCATAGATAGATTCATAGATATTTAGGCCAGAAGGGACCATTATGATCATCTAGTCTGACCTCCTGCACAATGCAGGCCACAGAATTTCACCCACCACTCCTAAAAAAGACCACACACCTATATCTGTGCTATTGAAGTCCTCAAATTGTAGTTTGAAGACCTCAAGGAGCAGAGAATCCTCCAGCAAGTGACCTGTGCCCCATGCTACAGAGGAAGGCGAAAAACCTCCAGGGCCTTCCAATCTGCCCTGGAGGAAAATTCCTTCCCGACCCCAAATATGGCGATCAGCTAAACCCTGAGCATATGGGCAAGATTCATCAGCCAGATACTACAGAAAATTCTTTCCCGGGTAACTTGGATCTTACCCCATCTAAAAACCCATCACAGGCCATTGGGCCTATTTACCATGAATATTTAATTACCAAAACCATGTTATCCCATCATACCATCTCCTCCATAAACTTATCGAGTTTAATCTTAAAGCAAGATAGATCTTTTGCCCCCACTACTTCCCTCGGAAGGCTATTCCAAAACTTCACTCCTCTGATGGTTAGAAACCTTCGTCTAATTTCTAATCTAAATTTCCTAGTGGCCAGTTTATATCCATTTGTTCTTGTGTCCACATTGGTACTGAGTTTAAATAATTCCTCTCCCTCTCTGGTATTTATCCCTCTGATATATTTATAGAGAGTAATCATATCTCCCCTCAACCTTCTTTTAACCTGTTTAATTGAGGTGTAGATGTTTAGGCTTGGGCTGAAGTCTGAGCTCTAAGACCCTATGAAGTGGGAGAGTCCCAGAGCTCGGGCTGTAGCCTGAGTCCAAACATTTACATTGCAATTAAACAGCCCCTCAGCCTGAGCCCTGGCGTGAGCCCGAGTCAGCTGCCATGGACCAGCTGCAGGTGTCTAACTGCAGTGTAGACATGGACAAAGTAGCTTCTGATTGTAGGCCTGAGCTCCCCAGTTCAATTCCTGCTGATCAACAATGGCAGGAGTTGTAACATACTGAAAATACAAAGCATATAGCATTTTCAAAGCAAACACTGAAGTTAATTGAGCTGTGTCAATTTACACCAGCTTGGAATTTGGCCCTAGGTAAAATCAATTTGTTTAGCAGCTATAGTAAAGCAGGGAAGGAGCATGAAATGAACATGAAAGGCTGCATAGAGAAAATTCAGGATTGCAAATACCAATCTGCTGCTATGAACAGCTTTGAAGACAGCACTGTAGGATTACATTAAAATGCACTTCTCACAACTAAGTGTGCTGGTATATGTAAAAAGAAAAGGAGGACTTGTGGCACCTTAGAGACTAACCAATTTATCTGAGCATAAGCTTTCATGAGCCACAATTACTGTAGCTCACGAAAGCTTATGCTCAAATAAATTGGTTAGTCTGTAAGGTGCCACAAGTACTCCTTTTCTTTTTGCGAATACAGACTAGCACGGCTGCTACTCTGAAACCTGGTATATGTAGTGTTTAGTCATTGAACATGTTTCCTGGCAATCACACCAATTAAGCGCAAAGACTGAGTATCAGGATGCCAATTAAATGGATTCTTCTGAACTGACGCAACGACATAGATGGAAATTAGATTAGTAAACCAACCACATGGTGCCACTAAAATCTCTGGTTATAAAACATATGGCCACAATAGTATACAGCCAGATATTGGGATCATTTTCAATAGGCTCTAGCATTAAATAAATAGAAAAATCAAATGTAAACTGACATAAATAAATGTTACTTCGCTTATAGACCCCAAAAGAGAAACAAAATTCCTAAATAATAAAAATATTCTTTCATACTGTATATATTATATATTTATATTTAATATTTTATGGCATAACAAATGAATAGGAAATGTACGATGCTTAGCTAATAGACATGATTCAATATCTGTTTTGTTGAAGCCTTGTGCCAGTAGCTCCTGTGTGTTCTTATATGATATAATCTGTTACTGTAGCTATTTGCCTTTTTTACCCTGCTTGGATTTTGAATTCACCTTACGGGCAGCACTCACTGGTTCACCTCTTTTCTGTGGCCTCCATAGCTCTCTTGAGCAGTCGACAGGCTCATAGAAGAATGTAACTGGCTGGATGCTGTTCTTGTCATCCTTGTTTTTCTTTAGGAACATTCTACCTTTTTGAAGGGAATGCGGTTTTGCATCAGGTATATTATATGAACCATGCTGATTTCCTCGGCTTCTGAAATTTAAAAAAAAGTCAGATTTTGCAAAGGTGGCAAATGGTCTGATTTTTAAAGGTGCTGAACACTTGCGGCTACCGGGGGTATTGCACGGTAAAAATAGCATTTTTAGAATAACTGTAAATTGTTCTTTTGCTTTGGAGAGCGTTATGGAAGAGTTGAGATGAGCATGTAGTAGTTTCCCTTTACTCCAAGGAAATATAGACATTTGCATTTATTTCTTACTGGAACACTCTATGTGTATCATGGGATGCACTTTTAGTACATGTTCATTTAGAGTGAAATTTGTCCATGTGCTGCTGGCTAGCACAAGGCATACATGCCCTAATTTGACATCTTAAAGGGATTTAAAGGACTTAAGTGGTGCACAGGACTCATGCTAGCCCTCTGCAATGGATGAATTTCACCCTGATTTTTAAATAATAATATTGACATATACCATAGTGGCAGTGGAGAGAGGGGAGTGGGACTCTGGTGACTTCTCAGTGGTGGGAACTCAGCTGGATCTTTGGTTGCTGTGGTGCTGGCAGATCCCCGTGGGCAGATATCTGCCTTTTATTTGTAAACAAGCTGACAGTCAGTATTGCAAATTCAAGTCTGAAGCCTCTGGTTGGCTGACTAGTTGAGGAAGTTTTAGTTTTTAAATCATGCTTGTTGAGTTAACCTTATTTCTGAATTTTTGGGGTGTGTGGATCAATAGTAATAATAAGTAATTGGTGTGGGGAAGAGAATAAGAATTTAAGCCTAAAAACAAGCCAACCTCCCCTTCTTTTGTTTGTCCTAGTTCATGCCTAATGTGACTTTATTGAAGTAAATTGACTTGACCAGAGCTACTTCAGAATGTTAAACTGTACTGCACATTTGATAGACCTTTCTAGAAGAAGGTCCAATTGGTCAAATGCATGCAATTCAAACCCCATATTCATAGAATTCCAAGCTGCATTGCCAACTTAATCAGAGTTCCATGTTGCAGGCTATAGTCTTTATTTTTGAACTTCAATTTTAGAACTCTAGTCATAAACATTTTGACACTGTAGCATGGCCTAATACTTTGTTCAATGTGAGAGTTCTGCTCAGCGAATGACTGGAGGTTTGGGTCCAACTTAAACGATTCAGTAATAGCAGGAAGAGTACAGAAAACTACTGGCAAATAAATTTTCTATAAATAATCTTTTCCTTCAAATGTAGCCCAGTGTGAGATCTTGTCCATAGGAACAGAAAATTGTTACAGATGTCACTGTGGCTGTTGCTTTAAGACATTGCATTAATGGAACTGTATGTTGGACCAATTAACTGGTTGATGTTGAAAGACACGGCGGTTTGTATTTGTCAAATATAACATCGTGAAGCTGATTCATTTGTTCTCAAGGAGGAGGCAGATTATAGACCTATCCCAATGTATAATTTCAGTCACATTATTACTGTACTCAGTAATGTTCTTCAAAATAAAATATATCAAGGGTGATATTTTTAAAGGGAGTTAGGTGTCCAAACCTCATAGAAATTAAATAGCAATGTGACATAGACTGGACTTATGTCTCTAATTCACAGTTTATAGCAACAGAAAAGAGGGGCTTGGAATTGAGGAAAATGCCAATCTGCCTGTTAGAAAGCTATTCTGGGTTGCTATTAAGCATCAGCAAATGCCTTTGTACCTTTAATAGACCATTTACTGGAGAAAGCAGTGACCCAATCCCCACTGTGAGTGTAGGTAGCTGAAGAAACCTGATTTAGAAAGCAGGGAACTAGGCTTGGATCTAAGGTGATATGTCTGGGATACAAACAGATCCAGCTGGAGGGCTTGATAAGAGAGAAATTTCTGTTCACAGTGGAGAGTATCTAATCAGCAAGGAAAGATGACAAAAATAGTCAAAGGGAGGAGATAGTTTACATCTTGAAAACAATTTATTTTTCTGCTTCCTCTGTAACTATACTGAAAATGCCTTAGCTAGTTTAAAGAGACCAGGTGGGTAAGGTAATGTCTTTTATTGGACCAACTTCTGTTGGTGAGAGAGGCAAGATTTTGAGCCACACGGAGCTCTGCTTCAGGTCTGAGAAAGGTACTCCCAGCTTCACAGCAAAATACAAGGTGGAAGAGGGCATTAGTAGTTAGTACATATCGTAAGGGATCATGGAGGACCACAGTATGTGCTAACTACTTATGCTAAACAATCTGTTCCACCCTGCATTTTGCTGTGACACTAGGAATACATTTTTCCAGTCCTGAAGAAGAGCTCTGTATGGCTCAAAAGCTTGACTCTTTCACCAGCAGAAGTTGGTTCAATAAAATATATTACTTCATTCACCTTGTCTCTCTAATATTCTGGGACCGACATGGCTACAACAACACTGCATTAGCTACTTTAAGTTATAAGAAGTGCAAATTTAGATAAATTAGCAAACAGGTTTTTTTTAATTCCATTTTCTCTCCTTTAACTTAACTCTTGTTTTTGTTAAGATTACTACTTTAGAGGTAATTTCATGAAGATAACCACACAAAGAACCCCATAACCTCAAAGGAGAGGTGCTGAAAGGTAAAGAGTTTTTGGTTTGTAGATCCCCCCCCAACCCTAATCTCAAGCAGCACGGACATGAGAGGTGGCTGCCCCCAGCAAGTTAAGTTGCTATCAGATTTTGGCAGGCAAACGGGAGACATTCAGGAGAAGCTGAAGAACCAATGAGGAGAGCAGGGACAGATCCTCAGCTGGTGTAAATTAGCATAGTTCCCTTAATGTCAACCGACACCAGCTTGGGCTTTGCTGCTGGAGTTAGTGGTGGTGCTGGTCACAGAGCATTTGGGTGCTTAATTCTCTTAGGCTACTTTGAAAATTGCAACCAAAATTAATATGTCACTGTGATGGGGTGGATTAGGCCCAGAGGCCCTCTGCTGGAGGTCTCAGGGTCCTGCCACACTCCTCCCAGGAAAGGAGCAATTGAACAAAGTCCTCCAAACTGCCTGGAGAGACTGCGCAGAAAGCAGGCAATCAGGGGGGAGGCTGCAGAGAGCAGCCTATCAGGGCCCGGGGGGCCATTTAAAAAGGAGCTGCAGTGCACACAACAGTCAGTTCCTTGCAGGAACCAGAGGAGTGTACATGGTGCTGCTGGCTGTCCAAAAGAAACTGTAGTACCATGGACAGCTCAGTGTGGGCAGGGATTGGGGAAGAGAGTAAGAAAGCACACTTGGCTGACTGCTGGACCTCAATGCAGAAAAATCCTGAGCTAAGGGTGAAACACTGAGGAAAGCTGAGACCATGGGGAAGTGGCCTAGGGAACTGAAGGAAGTTTCATTAAAAGGACATGTGGCTGGGATCAGATATAGTGGGTGGGCCTGGGTCCCCCTGCCCCAGACCATTGGGGAAGTGGCCTACAATTGGACAGTGATAAATCCCCAGAAGGGTATCTGAACTGTTAAGAGGCCCATCTGGAAAGCTGGGGACAGAAGAGACCAGAGAAGGTAAAACCAGTGCCTCCAGTGAGGAAGTCTTGGGGGCATGCCTCAAAACCAGGGCCAGGACTGGCTAATGACTGCAGACACATTGGACCAGAAGGGACTCTCGTGAGAGGTGGGTGCTACACCGTTACAGACTCAAATGATTTACAGTCCTCATAGTTATAAACATCAGTGCATGTGGAAGGCAAATTAACTTTAAAAAACCTCATTGTATTTAAAAATACTTATTATATTATTAAAACAGATCATAATGGTAAAAGATCACACGAACCGGTTATGAACTAGTCTATGTTGCTAGATGATGAGATAGTGTACAGTGAGAGTTACTGAGTTATTACAGAATAGATGCATTTGACACCTTTTGACAGTTGGCTCTGACAATTGTCCTATCCTCTGTTTCAACTCTAATTATTAGTACATTCTGACATAAGGCGGTAGGACACTGATGTGAAGTGTTATAGGCCCAGTGGGTCTATAACTGCTTATACCAACTGAGGATTCTCCTCCCAGAGTGTTGGTGGGACTCAAACCTGGTTCTCTTGCTTGAACAACCAGTGACCCACAATGCTACTTTTTTAAAATAAAAATACTGTAGGAAAATTCTCTTTAAGTTGAAGCTTCATCAAATTGCCAATATATTTGTGTTACGGAAAGTAAACTATAGAGGTACAATATGTGAAATCAGCTGATGCATATAATGCTTGCTTAACTCTTTAACCTTAACTTAATTTGTAATGTGATCTCAAAACCAGCTGGCTTGACAGTTATGGAAACTGACGTTATCTCTTCATCCACAGAACAGGCATAGCAGCAACAGAAGCTTCCCCATACTGCCTCAGCTCTGTTTGTGGTAACCATCTCTATAAAGCAGCAGGTAATTTCAGTCCATCTGCTGATTCAGTCCTTGGTGTATCTGCTGAGATTGCTGGGGTGCTAATTAGTGCCCGTTCTAATGGTGTTTTTCGTAAGGACAACTGTTTACCAGTGGCTGGATGGAGACCTGCAAGTTATTTCATATAGGCCACTGAAATCCCAGCAGATGGTAGCAACTACTGGATTCTACTAAACTGTGCTGCTTTAAACCGGTGGCTTGTATACGCTGTTACCAACCCCCGCAATTATCCATGTCCATGTCACTTACCCACATCTGATTTCAATACATAAGTTTGATTGAACTTGGCCTGATATATCTTATTTCTACAATGTCGACATAAGTGGGTGCAACTCCATTGTCTCTAGTGGAGTTATACCCACTTAGGTGAATTTGTCACATCATGTTTCATTTCACACACTCTCCCACTCCTTCCATTCATATAAACAGTGATAGGGGTCTGAAATTTAGAGACACTGTCAGCTCAAGTATAGGCCAAAGTTTAAGTTTTTGGAAAAAAGCTTGTTTCTACTGGTTTAGGTTAGTAAAGAAATGTTTCATGATTTTTTAAAAAAAATTTCTAATGGAATAAATTGTAAAAAAACAAACACAAAAATCACCAACTCCTGCACTGTTATTAATAATTCCTACCCTATCAGCAAAAGTGAAACTGATTCCAATAATTTCCATTGTCCAAGCTAAGAAATTAAAAAATAAACAAAGTGACAAGTTGCATTTTTAAATTTGATTTTAAAAATTGAAGCTGTTTTAGTCATACTGTAGATCAGGACATTTGTTTGTTTATAATATGGTATTTTTAAGTTGTGTCCCCTTTAAAAAATCTGACAATGGCAAGTATAAATCTCCCACATATGGTATTCAAGAATGGCCATGACAGAATGTTAAAGACATTTTTATCTGAAACTTAGTATGTGTTCATTTAGTAGATTCAAACTTTGCAAAAACCTCATACGGTCAAACAGGAAGCAGTAATGTATTGGCACAAAAGGATTCTATTTTTTCTTGAATAAAATTATATTTTATTTTTAATTTAGCAAAACACCTGTTTTTCCTTTATTATGCAAAATGCATATATATCATCAAATATAGGACCTGCTCCAAAGCCCATGGAAGTCCAATGTAATGGACTTAGGATCAGGGTTATACAGCATACGCAAAAATGTAAGCATGTTTAAATGATAGAAAAATGAAATGACATACATACAGGCATCTGGGTTTCTTATTTGATGAGAGGTCTGTAAACTGGAAAAAAAAACAGAAAAATGTTCATATTATGAGCAAATATCACAGTGGCGTGAGTGGCACATATAAGAGGCTTGGGGAGGCTAAGTCTCCCTAAAATAAAAAAGACTGGCCATGTAGGGGCAAATGATGGAGGTGGATCACCTCCCCTTGGAGGCATGCCTGCCTGCCACCTTTTTGCCTTGGGAGCTCCCTAGAAGTGGCAGCAGTGTGTGGAGGGGTGCTGCTCCGTGCTGCTCCACCCCTTCCCTCCCCGGCTCCTCCTCTTCTCCTGAGGCCCTGCCTGCTGCTCGCTCCTTTTCGCCCCCTCCAGTTTGTCACTCGGCCGGAAGGCAGGAAAAAAATGGAAGGTCATATAGATAAATGAAGATAATAGCAAAATGAAATGACATACAAAAGCCTTCCCACTTATTTCCTGACTTAAGGGCGATTGACAGGTGGTGGGGGGGGCAGAGAGGAGTGAGCAGCAGGGATGGGGTCTCAGGAAGAGGGCAGAGCGGGGAAGCAGGGGACACTGTCAGGGCACCCGTGGGGGCCCCCCCCACTTCTAGGGAGCTTCTGGCGCTCCTGAGTGTAGCCTTCCCAAACGAAAAACTGATATGCCGCCTATGTACAGTGGTCTTCTGTCATTTAAATCATTTTATATCTACAAAAACCAATGTGTATCTAAGGCCCTGATCCTGCAAAGATCTACACATGTGTTTTAACTTTAATCTCAGTTAGGGGCACCCCTAGATCTACACAGATTTCAGGACATCAGTATGTTTAAGAGGTAGAACTCACTGCCTGTTCTAGGGGTTGAGGGGATAGAAGAAAGCTTCATTTTGTCTTCCTCAAAGTTATGAAATTCAACAGGTGCAAACTTGCAGTGCTTCCGAACCCCTACGCACTAAATTCTAAATATTGTTAGCATGTAGCCCAGTATTTGTAGTGGAAGAAAATAAGTAGTAATTCAGATCCCAGAGACTTTGAAGAGGTTTGTCATAGCTTAGCAACAGTTTGTTTGAAAACAGATAAAGGGATTTCTTTTTAAATGCAAAGCCCGTATTTTTGGTCATCTGGTCACTTTAGTTATGTGTACACTGCAACGATAGGTGTAATTTGCAAACCTGAAGCAGAGCTCCATGTGGCTTGAAAGCTTCTCTCTCACCAACAGAAGTTGGTTCAATAAAAGATATTACCTCACCCATCTTATCTCTCCAGTTAAGCCACTGTTGTTTTCTCATTTTGAGGCCATGCAATCAAAGGCTATGAAATTATCTTCCAGCTGTATATTTTTAGTCCAGTTGCTCATATTTTTAACTCATTTAAAATTTAAAGCCAAATTTTAAATGATTGAAGTGCAATAATGGAATATTTTTAAACTATTCTAGTTACAAAAACAATTCTGTATATTCAGTATGCAGAATCATATTTCCACCTTTCCCTTCTTTCACTACTAGGAACATTTTAAACAAAGAATTTTTTCTTTAAGTTTCTTTTCCTACTAACAACTCTTCCAACTTAATAAATAATCTTAAATCTTGTAATTATGTATGCATTGTTAGTTCATTTACCAGCAGGTATTTACAATTTTTTTTTTGTAACTATAATCAAAGTAAATTGCTAAAGAAGAATAGCAAGGGCTGACTGTAGGTACTTCACATTTGATTATACAGTGTAGATACAATGAGAAGTAATTATTGTGTTCAAGATAATTAATAAGACATCATTCCCCATTAAACTGGATTAAATACATTTTCCCTCGCAACCTTTAATTTTGTCAAATCATATTTATTCTACAAAAACAACTAAAAATCTCTAAGCTTGATTCTCAGCTAGCATTCACTTGAGGGGGCAGGGGCATAACGGTAGCTTTATACCCCTTTTTCTCTCCCCACCCCCAATCCCAGGACCAACTAAGGCCTGTCAGCCTCTGGCACAGTAAGAGCCACCTCAGGTGTGCTCCAGACAGCCAGGCTGGAACTCCCCAAGGTGTCTATTCTGTAGTAGGGTCTAATTTTCCCTCTGTTGATATTCACCCCTTCTTGTCAACTGTTGAGAAGAGGCCAATTCAATTAGGATGGATGTGGCCCAATTAGCACTGACCCACAACTTGGTAAGACAACTCCCATCTTTTCATATGCTCTATATTTATACCTGCTTACTGTATTTTTCACTCCATGCATCTGATGCAGTGGGTTACATCCCACAAAAGCTTATGCCCAAATAAAATTGTTAGCTTCTAAGGTGTCACAAGGACTCCTCGTTGTTTTTACTGATACAGACTAACACGGCTGCCCCTCTGAAACCTGTCACTAATCACTGTTCTTCACTGAGAAGTGGACTAAGACACCAAATAATCATTTCACTTAGGACACCAGCTATGGCCAAAAGCCATCAGATAGTAACAACTTTTGGACAACACAGGTTTCAAAAAGAAAATAATGCTCTTAGAATCAAGAGGACAAATGACTTTGAAGGCATTTACTGTTGACACAACTTGTAAACTTACACAATAAATTTTGTGTCTCCTGCACAACTATTAGCACATTTGTAGTGGGTGTTTAGATTTCTAATTGTCTAATATATTCACAAAAAACTAGTGCCCACAGCTGAAAGTTTGATCCTGAAATAAATTTGTCTCCCAAATTCAGCATTTAAAAATAATTATTGGTCCAGTAAATCCTTCCCCTACCCCTGTATTTTTTGTAAATTTTTCTCTTGGAGTTCTGATCTGATTTCCATTGTCTTTTCAGCCTATTAGGCTGAGCATGCCTGTAGTCACACCATGTTGGTTTCTGTGGTAACTTTGTGAGCTCAGGAAGGTCAGGATGGTCAGCGTTTGGTAGTGCAGCTGATTCAGAAGGCAGTGCTCCCCCCATGAGACAATGGCTCAGTATGCTGTTAAAAGGCACTCTGCTATTGGGAGTACTCTTTCAGATGCAATTTAAAACAAAGGTTCTTACCCATAGTCCTCTTGAAAGATCTCACAGCACTTTTTGAGATATCAGCCTTGATTTCCATACCAAATTTCTACTCTATTATGTTATTTCAGTACTTACTATGTCAAGTTAAGGTGACCTTTGCTTTCTACCCTTAAACTGCTGTTAAGCACTGTGTGCAGTCAACCAGTAGTTGCTTTTTTCACCTAACGTGGCTGCATTTCCACGATGGATGAAGTCTATTCTAGGTACAGTTTGTACTCTGTATCCATTTAAGTGTCAAAAGGCCTTTGGAATTCTTGTGGATGAAGTTTGCCACACAAATGTAATATATTAGAGGGAAATTACTGACTCAAAGTAATAGTAGTGGTTATTAATGGAAAAAATTATATCGGCTATTTGTCCCAAAGACAAGACCTTTTAGCAAAAAGGCAGATGGACACTTCATTATTCCTCACTTTCTCCTTCCCATCTTTGGCTACTGCAGTCCTTTTCCACTCTTCTCTAAGATTGCCATCATTTACTGAAAAGAAAATGCAGTCTGGCTGAGTGGTAGGGAAAGAATGGGGTTCGGATCAACTGAGCTTCTGTATGTGTTGCTCCCCCAGCCACACCACTGCATGGCATTGAAATCTTAAAAAAAAAAAAAAAAGTGAAATTCTTAATTCTCTCCATACATATATGCACAGCAGAGCTACATTTATGGATACATCAGCCCAAGTCATAGGTGAGTTTTTCACTGCTAGGTAGAGATAAGTGACTTTTTTCCACAAATAGTAAATTTGCCCAAAAATACATTCTGGGCGGCGGCGGCGGCGTGGGGGGGAGATTATGCTGTAACCTGAGCCCCACCGCTGCCCAGGGGTGAAGCCTTTGGTTTGATTTCGGCCGCAAGCGGTGACGTTTGAGCTTTGGCTCCAGGTCCCACAAGTCTAACACCAGCCCTGGTGACCCCATTAAAACAGGGTTGTGACCTACTTTGGCGTCCCGACCCACAGTTTGAGAACATCTACATTAGATGACAGTCTTGTGTGCTTACCATATGTTCATTTACATCATTGTAATTGCACATTATCTGCTGATTTTGATAATATTCTAGTTGTCTTTCTGCCAGATCAACCCGCTGCAATAGATTCTCAATGAAGTGTTGGAGCCTGGCTTTCCCATGGACCTCTTTCTCAGCTGCCTCTTCCAGGAAGTGGTTAAAAGTAACAACCTCTCTGTAAGACAAAAGTGTTTGAAATACAGCAACATCGAAGTACTGGAAAGAGTCCTGGCTTTTTTGTTGTTGTAATTGTTGCTAAGAAACAGCAGTGGAAAGGGGATTCTCACCTGTATTGTAGAAATCTCCTACCAATGCCTTTGTGTTTACTGCCATATTTATCTTTTTTCTGGTTATGATTGGAAATAAGGAAAATAGACAGACTTGGAATATCTATACGATTAGGAAAGACTCTCCAAGAAATTCCTTGTTTTCCTGCTAGCAGTCCTGAAGGTGCAGGCCACCCCACAATGGGTAGGAAGGCTGCCCTGCTATGCCACATACCCCCGTGCACTCCTTAAGGGGTGGCACAGCTGCTGTGCTTCCCAGGAACTTACTAAAACACAGTGGCCTCCTGGAGCTCCTTCAGGGCCAGGATGGCGCACAGAATGTCCCCTGCTCAGAGCTGTGTCTTAAAATAAAAACATGCAAATATGGGATAGATTTAGCAAAATGTGATTCAGGCAATTTCCTTCCTTAAATGGAAATTCCACCTCAGAAGCTCTTGACAAGTTCATCTCGTAAACTCCTTGCCAACAGCACTAAAAACACTCATATGTTTATTGCATCCAGGGAAGAGACTTGCACTCATAATGAGCAATATGAAAGGCCAACAAATGGTAGATGAGGATCTCCCATATAATCTTAGAAATAACCTTCATCACCAACTGTGGTGGCTGGAGATATTTTGTAAAAGCAACATTTAGTACATTCCAAGATTGACACTTCCTTAATGTTCAATTGCAAATGTGGTGCCCTTTTCCCTGTTTACATACACACCAGTTCGACACTTAACCCTGAAATATGACATGAAATGAAAAGAAACCTAAAATTTCTCACCTATCCTGTTAATTAAATGAAATAGAACAATTTTATGATTCCCAAATAGCTTTATTTTAAAACATCAGCCCTTCATTATTCAACAGAGCCACTGTTGGCATGCCCATTAAATTGCATTTTGGCCTTGATCCTTACAAAGGGCACATTAGGGCAGAAAAAGACCGTTGTGCTCCAGACAAAGTGTGAGCAAGGCTAAGTAAGATAGCCTGAGGCATAATCCCTCTATGCTGCTATGGTAAGGAAAGGGACAGGGTGAAGAGTGAGCTGGTTAAGTGCAATTCTGAGCATGTCAGATTTGCCCCTAATCACAAAGTGCTAGATAAACTGAGGTTACTGGTATGCAAATGTTTTAGTTTACTTCAAAACACAGAATATGGGAGGGGGGCAAATCAGTATTTGGTAAATAAAAAAGGACAAAACTGGCCAGAGAAAAATGTAGTCTGAGATGAGAACACTATAAACAGTGGCTAAAAAGAAAAACATTATACTGGTGATGACTTTCTAAAGCCCTGTTTCTTCATCAGCACACAGAAGTTTCTCTTCGTATTTAAGTTTATCTAAAAAACTGTTTTAATTCCACATAATTGTAGATAATAGCTTCCTTACAGTTTTTCTGCCCAGCAAACCATGAACTGAATCTGTCTCATGAGCAGTGTCAGGCACAAGCAAATGACTATGGAATCTTTACATGCAGAATTTGATTTACCTCTGGATTTTGCTGTAAACAATACCGGAATGCATAGGCGCCGACTCCGTGGGTGCTCCAGGGCTGGAGCACCCATGGGGAAAAATTAGAGGTGCTCTGCACCCACAGGCAGCCAAACTCCCCCTGCCCCCACCTCGCTGCCTCCTCCCCCACTCCCAAGCACGCTGTGTTCCCGCTCCTCCCAGCGCTTCCTCCCCCCCATCCCCTGCCGCCTAACAGCTATTTGGCTGCACTTAGGACTTTCCCGGAGGGAGGGGGAGGAGCAGGGACAGGGCGTGCTCAGAGGAGGAGGCGGAAAAGGGGCGAGGTCTTTAGGGAAGGGGTGGGGTGGGGTGAGGGCGGTGCAGGGGTGGGAAGAGGTGGGACTGGGAGGCTTGGGTGGGGGGCGTCGAGCATCCACCGAACAGAGGGGAAGTCGGTGCCTATGCCATAATGCACTAAAAAGCTCTCTGAACTAGCAGGAGTGGAAGTAGAAGGTGCTCCAGGAATGGTTGTTTCAAGGCATACACAAAGGCTTTGTCTTTCATCCCAGCTCCTTTTAGGATATTTACTTACACATACTCCAGATTTTGCTAGTGACAAGCAAGAATGAGATAATGGGAACTTATTTTTGAAACTGTCTACTGGGTAATGCCAGCTTTATGGCTATGTATGGTTTCTGTCACTACAGCTTGCTCCAGAATAACATGAGGTTTTCTATAATCAGGTAAAAGGCACAGAGCAGAGTTTAGGATAATGCTAACACTAAAACCAAGATGAATTTTAGCACTTGACTCGCCTCTCACTAACTCACTTACATCATTGTAACTCCTTTGACTTCCATGAAGTTATTCTGGATTTATACTGGTGCGAGAGCAAATAGAGGCCTTTGGAATCTTACTTACCTGGACAGCAAATCAAAAGGCCCTGTATGTGTCAGACTGAGGAAATTTTTTACTTTGTTTACAAAAAAAAAAATCTGTCTTAGTGTTACTCCTCCAGAAATGATCAGATGAATATATCTGCCCACGTTATTGCATAGATTACACAACACAAGGTTTTGCAACAAACTTTACAGAAAATAATAATGAATTTGCATTAACAAACAAATTGCCTTTTCATTTCCTACATGCCCTACTGTTTAGTAGGAGACAGGAAACTCAAAGACATGGAAACATGCAGTTTGTTATACTGTAGGCCTGTGATTTAACTCACCCCGTACTAAACCAGCTTTGGGTGAAACTCCGGGATTTCACCACTAAAAGTAAGGGGGAAAAATGCTCCACTGCTGCTAAGGTGCCCCCAACTCAGGAATGCCCCTAACAAGAGTTATAACACCAATGGTTGTAAAGTAGAGACACCCAAGTCTGGGAAGTTTAGGGAGGAAACAGAAAGACCCCAAGAGTTGGTAAAATAGATAAGATAAGCTCTGACTAGTGAATTTATGCTGCCCATCTGCACAAACAAAGAAGGTCATAAGTTACAATTTGGGCATGAGAGATAAAATATAAAAAGAGTTGAGGAGGGAGGAGAAAATGTAGGTGCCAGTGTGTGATTGGTTAAATTTTGTTACCTAGGGGTACTGAATAATGTGATAGGTTTAGTAAAGTTAAAGGAGGTAGCTAGTTTTACCTGTATGATGTAATAAAAAAAAAATGCTCTTTGGGAACCATCTCCGGATTGGAATTTAACATCAAGCTGCTAGAACTCTGACCCCTCTGCACAACTGTAATGTGCAGAGGCATTGCTGGAACCCCAGAGGAGAGGATCCTGACTGGCCATCAGGTGAATTTTGTCTGTATATTGGGAGTGGTGAGCATAAGAGATTTGGTTGGTATATGTATTCTGAGTGTTGCTAATAAATAGATGTTTAGAGCACAGCTGTGTAAGGCTCCCTCACTAGGAAAAGGTCCTGCAGACCCATAAAGCCCTGAGCCCCGAGGGAAAGGGCAGGTACTTAAATTGACCCGGTTTCTTCCAGAGCCCCATAAGTAAGGATAGGTGCCTTACACCCTGAGTCCTCAGAAGGGAAAGGCTGAGGGGGCCTAAATTGATTGGGTCATGCCTTGAGCCCTCAGTAGGGTATAGGTGGACTGCCCTGGATTTTTTTGTGAGTAACAATCCATTACTCTTGGCAGGGGAGAGGGGCAGATAGTTGGTTTCCCTTCCCCCCAGAAGCAGCAGGAGCATCAGCTACTGAACCAGCCAATGTAGAGCAATGAGAAGCTACTACTTGCTGAAGTACATAGTCATCCTGATGGGATTCACTGTGACAGCTCATCAAGTGTTGAATAATTGGCAGTTGCTGTAAAATGGGCTGGATAATTTCATGAATACTAATGGTATCAGGAAAGATCATTAAAAGGATACCTAATCTCCTTTTCTAGGGTGTGACTGGATCGCCTGCAGAGGGCAGGAAGTAATTTCCCCTTCCTCCACATCCATAGTTGGCCAGATATATTATGTAAGGGATTGATTTTCTTTGGAAGATTGAGATCACTGTCAAAGGCAGGACACCAACCTAGATGGGCAAATGGTCTGATTGAGGATGGTAAATCCTGTGCTTTTTAGTGTAGATTCATCCATGCAGTTTATTAATGTGCCTTTAATGATTTTACTATCAACTAATTTTCTCCCTACAGAAGTGAGCCTCCCCACTCTATAACTCCCAGGGTGAGTTTTACTCTCTTTTTAAAGATAGGCACCACAGTAGCAACCCTCTGATCCTCAGGCACAGCTCCTGTTCTGTTAAGGTGCATGACATACTTGTTAGTAGCTCTGCTATCTTATAATTATTATATTTTTACTTCCTTTACGAACAACATCAAGCCCTGAGGATTTACTGCTATTAAGTTTCTTCAGTTGTTCCAACCCTCTTCCTTGGAGACATCTTTCTCTCTGCCATTGCTATGCCTTGATTACCTAGAAGTTGTTCACTGGGGAATTTTTTCCCTCATCATCCATACTAGAGAAGACTAATTCAACAAACTCATTTAACTTCACCACAGCTACATTGTCTTTTTAATTGCCTCCTTCGCTCTAGGCAGTTTGCATGGTCTTACTCACAGGCTTATATATGACCTTCTTGCTTCAGATCTATTTTTAATATATATATTATTAATAGCTATGTGCTCTTTATTTTTTCTCTTTATTTCCCTTTCACACCTTGCCTATGCTAGCTAATTTGGATTTTGTTAATATTACCTATGCTGAATTTCCCCATTTTGCTATTTTTCACTCCTTTGCTTCACAGAAAAACTGACACTCACTATGGTATGGTCAGATGCTGCTCCTAATGAAGTCAGTGTCATCCTCCCCATTTTGGGGCCCTCTGTTTAGAGGGAGGGAATGGAGAATACACACAATATACCAAGGCAAGACAGTTGGGACCAGTGTTATCACAAAATCACCCTTAGTCTGCTGAAGAGGCTAAG